TCGGGTGCTGGGTGGGTGTGGCCCATTGGGTGGCTTCGGTGGTAACAGCAGACTGGGTGGGACTAAAAAGTTCAATCAATCAATTCCAACTTTGCAAGATCTTTTTTTTTTCCCACAAGAAGTTGAAATTGACTGATTGATTGAACCTTTTTTTTTTTTTTTTTGCACACGGCAGCGGAGGCCTGAAGCAAAAAGGTTTCATAAAACCGAGCTGAAGGCCTGGGACTGGGGCAATGGCACATGTGCCCACAAAGAGGGCTCTGAGTGCCGCCTCTGGCACCCGTGCCATAGGTTCGCCACCACTGGTCTACAGTATGGATTTCCCAAGCAGAAAAGTCTATCTCTCCCATCTTCTCAACTTCATCAGTACCTCTGTGATTGGTGATTTTTATTATTATTATTATTATTATTATTATTATTATTATTATTATTATTATTATTATTATTATTTGACAGATGGATGGATAAGGATCCACCCAAACAACTGACATCCCTAAAAAAGTAGCTGACAGACATAGAAGAGAGGGGTTACCAGAGCCAACTTTTTCTCTATGCCTTCATGACACTACTCTACCATTCCTGCCAGCATTGTTCCAATTACTTTTAAACTTGGACTTCTTTTGTGTTTAAAAGCATCCTAAACAACAGCTGACAGGTGCTATGGGAGGAGTGCACCATTAAGGGCTTTTCGGGTTTCATCATGCAGCTCCCCACTGCCAGCGGCCAATTGCTGTTTAGGCTAAATTAGTTTTCAGAGTCAGGAAGCATCTTGGTGATCTAGCATATACAAGTAGTCCTCAATTTACAACAGTTTGTTTAGTGACTGTTCAAAGTTACAACAGCACTGAAAAAAGTAACTTATGAATGTTTTCCACACCTACAACCATTGTAGCTTTCCCAGAGTCACATGAACAAAATTTGGATGCTTGGCAACTGACTCATATTTATGATGGTTGCAGTGTCCCAGGGCCATGTGATCACTTTTTGCAATTTTCTATGTGGATTTCTTAAAGAAGGAAAACATTATTTTAACACTGCAACTGCTAAAGATGATTTCAGGTAAACTCTCAGGGATAAGTTGGGGACAAGATGGCAGTAGGACAGGAAAAAAAGCAGTTGCCAGCGCATGGGTTTGGTGTTATTATGTGCAAATAGGGAAAATTGCTTTATCACTTCATCTGCTGATGAAATTTATAATAAGTACTGTATATACTCCTTAAAATACCACAAACTTTTAATTATTTTAACATTTTTGTCAGATACATAAATCATCCCCCTTGAGACGGAGAGGGAGAAAGAGATTCATCTTATTGACTTCTCGTGAATAGTTTTGATTTTGGAGTTTGTTGTTGTTAGTCATTGCATTTTCAAATTCTAACAGTCCTGACTTTCATATCTTTCCCTAAACTGATATGTGTCATACTTAAAGCAATTTAAAGCAAACCACAAGGGCTTGGACAGTCTAAATGGCCTTTTCCAATCCTATTCTCCTATTATTATTTCATAAATGCATGCTATTTCATATCAAAAGATGATATCCACAGTAAAATCATGGTATTGTTTGAATTAATTCTAGTAGTTCAAATACAAATTTCTCTTTCAAAAATTACCCATCATACAGCAAAGATAAATAATATGAGAAGGCCCCCGTAGCCCTATTTTTCTGCCCTGACACAAGTGTTTGATAGTACTGCTGCCATCACATATCTCTACAGGGGAAGTCTTTGCTTTGCATTCTCCCCCTTTAATTCCAGCACATCCAACAAATTCCAGTCTGTCTCATACCTTACATCCTTTCTTACCAGGAACCTGATGTTGATGAAGGCAACTATGTTCTACATCCTCCTTTTCTTTATAGTTGCTTCAGGGACAGTACCCTCCTTTCTGAACAGTTGGCACAAGTTCTAATTTAAAAAAAAAACCATCAACTTTATAAAAACTTTTTTTTTAAGTAGTTTCATGCAAAACCAGTCATGAAATAGTGAAACACAGCACGGATAAAGTGACAAATAGCAGAAGGCTGCCATTAAAATCTGAGTTTGTACAAAGTATAATAGTTTATGTAAAACATCAGAGAAATTATCAGGGACAATCAGCAGACACGGAATGCATGTTAAAGTGAATCAAATAACTAATCACAGATCATTAACCAAATCCTTGTATACGCCTTAAAGACAAGGATCATGCCCATTAGCAGTTTCTTGTTTGTTTCCTGGAGATTCCCTATACAGGTAGTCCTCGGCTTACAATGATCCGTTTAGTGACAGTTCGAAGTTACAATGGCCCTGAAAAAAGTTACTTACGACCGATTTTCATACTTATGACCATTGCAGCATCCTCATGGTCACATGATCAATGTTCAGATACTTGGAAACCAGCTCATATTTATGACGCTTGCAGTGTCCCGGGGTCATTTGATCCCCTCTTGCAACCTTCTGACAAGCAAAGTCAATGGGGAAGCCAGATTCACTTAACAACCGTGTTACTAACTTCACAACTGCAGTGATTCATTAACAACCATGGCAAGAAAGATTGTAAAATGGAGCAAAACTCACTGGACAATTGCCTTACTTAGCAACATCAATTTGGGGTTCAGTTGTGGTTGTAAGTCAAGGACTACCTGTGTCGTGTAATTTACAAACTTATATTAGAGTCTAGGAACAGTTTTAACTTAGCAGATATTTTTCCCTTTCAACATACTTGATGCTTGGAACAGATTTCCCTCTGATCCAGAGATCCCTGGACTCTTCCCTCTTAGATAATCATGTGAAGATTCTAGTTGCTTTGATCTCCAGAGAGGCTTCTGGAGCTTTATCAGCTCCCACTCTAACCTCCTCAATCCAGAAAATGAACTTGGGGAAACTGTAGCTCTTGAACTGTCCTTCAAAACACGCAGGTGAGGTGTGGCTATGACTCGCCCTTGCGACTTTGGACTGGAAATGTGGTTGGAATTTTGTAACTGTTTGCCACCTTCTTGGAACCAATTGCCAGAAATCGCAGAGCTTTATTCTGATGTTGTAAAATAGTATGTGAGATAGGCTGGTTCAGAAGAGAATGAAATAATGATTTGGCTGAATCTACATCACTAGGTTCCATAGCACAGGAAGAATGTGGATCTCAATTTTTGTCTTCCAAGCTTTCCTTCAAAATACTGAACAAGAGAGGTTCTTTCCAGATTTAGTTATACTCAGGATGGAAATATTAAAATAAATGGGATAATAGATATAAAAATATTTTGTTGACAGATTTAAGAATAGTTTTAATCCCACAGGTTTTAATGTGTATATTCGGGCTCAATCTAAATACAATTGTATGTATTTTCTTTTTAAGGTGTGGTTAAAGGGCCAAATAATTAACGCAAGTAGAATAACATGTCATGACTGTACATCTTCTTTGCTTTGGCTTATTCTGTGATTAATTAAATTTTATTCCACTAAACACATTGCTTGATCAATAAGTAAAATGTGCATCCATGTGAATTTTTGAAACCATAAGTTCCTTTTCTAAAAAAAGAATATTATATTTATAATTACCAACTTTTTCTTCTTAGATGCATCCATCCTCCTTACAGAGGCTTGGTCCATTTGGAGTTTTATAAAAATCTTTACACTGTATCTGTATATTTTATTTTTTTAGTTATCAAATAGGTTTAATCAATTAAATTATTCAATTGCCTAAATGTAGCAATGTTTTTGTTACTATCTCTACTGCTTTCCAGTCCTGTTTTCTAGAGAAGAGAATTAATTCTCAGTCTATTTAAAAATCAGGAGTGTGGTAACCCTTTTCTAAGTAACAAATTTTATTAATTAATTCATTAATTTCATAAGCTGCGGTTCAGAAAGCCTTTTAATAAATCTAGTTGGACAAAAAAGATGTTACCAGACTCCTGACTTTTTGTCACCATGGACACTGTCCTTCTACAATGTTAATTTTTAAGAATATAAAGTTCAAGGGAAATGTCAGACAGATGCCTACTTTTTTTTCTTTTCCTTTCCTGTTCTTCTTTTTTGGTATTTTTTCTGCCTTTCTTTGAGAACAACACATCAACCTTTAATGAAAGAATAACTGCATTTTGTCAGGATAATTAATTGTGTTAGCAAGTACGCAGTTTGTTAACTGATAGTCAAAGATCACAGTGAACCTTTGACCAACTGGTCCAGTTGAGATCAGTTACTTCAACTGCAGCCCCAAGAAAACAAGTATCTCCCCTCTGATGAGCTTCAGGTGTCCAAAACTATTTTAAAAATACAAGGCTCTCCCAAAATCATTTCACAAACCATGGCAGAAAGAGAGGTATTTCAATGCTCATGGTGGAGAAGAAATATGACTTATATTGGCATTCTACTGTTTGCTTCTCCACTATTTTGTTCATCAACCCTTGAACTTCTTTCTACCCAGCTCCACTTTCTCCTCCATTCCAATTCCCTTGGTTTCCAGCACACTTTGACAAGTGGTGGTGGAATGGGAAAGGAAAGGAAAAGAAAGGAAAAGGTGATTTCATTATGTTTCAATTTACAAGCAAACTTTCTCAGCATCTTGACCGGTCAGATCTTGACTTTGACTCCCACATTCTGCTCTCCTCTCCACTTCTGCAAGATGCCTATTTGCAGTTCTCCTCGGAGCCCCATCCTGGAGTTCAGCTTTCGGGGCAAAGCCCAGAATAGATCCAACGCTGTGTCGAAATGCCAGATCCTCCTACACCTCTGGGCGCCGCTTGATTCCTTCTGCGAGGAGGAACCGCTTGGCAAACAGAGCCCTCCCCCGCCGCCGCCGCACTCTTTACAGTGGCGCGCATGGGGGAGCCTGCCTGCCCCACTCCGCCTCCGCCTTCTAGGGCATTGCCCGACGGCGGCAGAGAGGGGAATCCCGGGACTTCGTCTCCCGTGTACAGTTCGCTAAAGGAGCCGGTCCTGAACATCGGATCGCCCGCAACCCAGCTGCTTCTTCTGCACGGCCCAGGAACTTCTCCAAAGTGAGTGGGTTTCCGTTCTCACGCGAGACCCTTCCGCCTTTCCCTCCTGGAGGTCTCCCAACTTTTCTTGCTTCCTCCTCTTTTTCTGCTGCCGCCGCCGCCGCTGCAGCCGCGCCAACTTTGCGGGGTTTGGGAAGGCCCGGTGCTACCTGCCTGCCCGGTCCCTGGGCTGGGCCGGGGCTGGACGCGAGGATGGCGAGCGGGCGAGCGCGCGAGCGCCCAGATCTCCGTCCCGCTGCTTAACGCGTTCTGCTGAGAGTCATCAATTATGCAAGGGAACGGCGCGCTGCACTGGGGGAAAGGCAGGGGAGGCAGCGCACCAAGATGGCGACAACCGCAGTTTCTCCTGCAGCCTCCCCACCTCTGCAGTCCAGCAACGCCTTGTAGGAGTCGCGCTAGCGCCGCAACCTCAGTAAGTTGCACCACTGTCCCGCGGGGTCTTAACTGTATCTGTAGGAAGAGGGGGTGCACGGGGAGCCCTCGGATGTCAGGTCCCTTGTTTGGGTTTCTTTTTACAACCCCCTCTTTTTTTCTCTTCTACTTTTAGGTGGGTTTTGTCGCAGAGCGAATTTTTTGCAGCCCCAAAAGCTGGACTGCTTTCTTTCTCGGGAGTGAGAAATACCCTTTTCTCCACTTCCAGTGCTTTTGGGGGGGGGGGGAGGCACGGGCCGTGTCTTAATAATCCCCCAAAATAACTTCCACTCTTGCACTCAGGTCTTCGAAACCATTTATCAGACTGGGGGGTGGGGGCGGAGGGGGCTACTAAGGCTAGCTAATATTTAACTTCCCATATAAGATTGATTATTTTTTGGCTTCCCTTCCCCCCACACCCACACTTTAAAAAAATACAGAGAGGAACTAATCTTTTTCTACTTCGGAGAGCCCTCAGTGCATGGGGCACTTGGGTCCTTTGAAGATCTTTTGGTTCAGTTCTCTAAGCAACTCCCTCCTTTTCCTAGCTGGGGAAACCGATCTTTCTTCGCCCACCCCCGCCGCTCCAGCAGAGAGAGTCTTCTCTGCATTGAGGGAAAAAGAGCGCCTGCTCTTCGCTCTTGTGGGCAGACTAGAAGCCACGTTGCTGGAGGGTGGTGGTGGGGAGTTAAAAGTGGCTCCGGTGGGGATCAGGACAGACGTAGTAGCAGGTACATCATTTTTTTTTTTTTCGTCTCACCCCCATTATTAACAGGCCGCCTTTTCGGCTAGGGTGCCCATCCTTGAATCCAAGCCCTCTGTCTGCATTGGTAGTTTCAGCATTAAGGGCTCACTTTGCGCCACGTCACAACCCAGCCCGTCCCTCCCTCCAAGATCCGCCGCAACGTCCTGGTCTGGAGCTGTTGCCAAAACCCTGCCACCTTCCTGTCTTGGTTCTCCCTATTCCTTCTTGGAGGGGGATGAGGAGAGAATGAAGAGTGGGGGAAGATTCTCTCTCAGATCGGAGAATTGACGAATTCTCCTTTATATCTCCGCGTACATGCGGACTGCAAGTTTGAGTCAAGGAGAAGGAACAGGGCTGGGCTGTTGCAAAGATCCTTGGTGGGTGCCGACTGAAGCTACTCCCCTCCTCCGGTCTGCTCAGCTCAAGTGGGGAGGACATGGGAGCGTGAAGGACGGGAGGAAGTTGGAGGAACCAGCCAGAAAGACCCAGCAAAAGAGGGGCTGAGAATCCGCGGCTGAGAAGTCCAAAGGTACATTAATCAAAACATCTGAATGAAAGATCGACCGGGAGAGGGGGAGTCTTGTCCGCTATAAGTCTTCTGGAGTTAGGGGAGGGGGACAGGCAGGCAGGCAAAGACTGCGGGCTTAATAGATTTGCGCCTAGCCGGATCTCCATATTTGCTGAGCGTTTTGCAAAGGTCTGGCCTGGCCTGGCCTGTGCCGAGCAGACTTTCTCAGGTGCGTGGATGTGGAAGGCAGACTAAGAATGTTTCCCTTTTTCCTCCTGGCAAAGTGGTTTTTGTGGTGGGCCAGGTTCTGTGAATACTGCAGCGTTCTTTTCCGGGGAAACGCGTGACCCCTATGTCCTGGACTTTTTTCTGAAAAATGAGACGCCGTATGGATGTGGGGAGGGGAGACGAGACAAGGGGAGGAGTTACAGAGGCTTCCCCAAGGTCTCTCCTTTTGAGGGTAGAAGGGAATCATTCACTTTTGCTTTCTCTCACCGCCGTCTTCCGTTCTCCTCACACGATTGCGGAAGCAGCCACTGGGTATCATATGAACTGTATGAGAAAAAGCTAGGGAGAAAAGTAATTTAAAACAAGTAATGCTATTCAATGAGTCTCTTGCCGTTTCTCAGCAGTTTTGCACTCCCACTCCTATACCGAGAGAAAGATTGATTATAACAGCTTTATTTCCGGTTCTGCTTTGCTTGTAACTTGCTCGGCTGTAATTTTCTTGGCGCCTGGTGCCCGTGGTCTCTGGAGCGCTTTTCAAGACATGTGGTGCTGAAATGGACAGCTCCTTGACCTCGAAATAAGTGGCTTGCAAATGCCTAAGTGGCTTGCGATTTTCCGCTGTAGTATTGCTTTGATCTTTCCTTTAGTATCGAACGCACAATTGTATAAGCTTTCAGTTTTGTTGTGGAGAATGTCAGAAGTAACTCCCAGATGTTTTTATGTGGCCAAATGTGTTAAGCAGCTCTGAAATTATTCTAGTATCATTATCAAATAGAAGAATTTGCAATGCTGTTTAATTCTATGGTGGAGATTTCTAACGAAATTAACAATGGGACTTTCTAGAAGATTGTATTACGTCAAAAAATACAAAGAAACTGGTCAATGTTACCTGAGGCAAAGTGTATGACTTGGGAAGTGGATTGAAAGTCCACTTCACCTCTAGGCCCAGTAGGTTTCTTGATTCACTCTGCTGCACCTCAAGTCTCTGGCAGAAAAGGAAAGATCTCATGAACTTACATAGTTATTTTGAGCCAATAATATAAGAAATGAATTGAAGCACCCTGAAAATTGGAAGTTTCATATAACGTCTTTATTATATCAAATGCTAATCATAATGTAAATGGCAGGAATTTTTATTACAAATATGTGGTATTCCTAAACATGTAATATGAATGGCATGTAAACTATAGACAGCATCTATTCTGGGTGTTGAGTCATATTTTATTATCTTACCACATGGTTCAGTCTCCTTCAAGATCACTTTTTGTCATTAAAAACTGTCTATTTATATTTAAGACAAAGACATAACAACATGGTCAAAATCAAACTGTCTGAAGAACCTGCATACGGGGCTACAATAGATGGTGTATCCAAATAGTCTCAGTATTAAAGTTCCATCACACAAATCAATCCTCACTGGAGTTAATTTTGCAACTTCCACTTTGAAATCTTTTCTACAACAGAATACATGTTGTAGAATAGCCTTAGAAATACAAAGAAATATAAATACTCTGCTGTCATACCTAACATTGTCATCCTTAGTAAATAGGCATCTGGACATCTGATTCACACACTTGGAAATCACAGCTGCCATAACTATGTGATTTTACCACAAACTAGGTTTAGGAGACAATACCAGGTTATGATAAATATTGATGTTCTTCTGCTACTATCTACCTCCATGTGGCATTATATGTGATTAGGAATAATATGATATATAGTGCAATAACTGATTGAGCAAGGTCTGTAAATGGTATCTTAGCTATATTTTAACTGATACTTATGTTACCTAAGCTAGATTTCTGCTTGATTCAGCACATTTCATCTAACTAACACTAAAACTATCAATTCTTCATATTATTTGAAAATGAAGTTTTCAGCTCATAAGTAAGCTTAATGGGCATTGAGGTGAAATGTAGCTCAAAACAGGCTATAATGACTAGATATTAATTTTATCTTTTGGGCTGCTTCTGAAAGTTTTGAGATATTTCAAAATATTTGCAAGGTTTTCATATTTTCAAGACTATTAAATGGGTTAACATAGTGAGAAACTATTAGTAATGTTAACAGATGTTGTGGATGAAGTTAATAGTCTCTAGACAGATATGTGTATACATACACTATAACAGATTAAGCCAAATCTCATACTGACCAAAGTATACCATACTGACACCCTTGTTTTGTTGCACATTACATTCAAAATTATTTTGCCAAGCCAATACTTTATCAGAGACTGAATGAACATAGGCAGTAATTGTTGTGGGGTTTTGGGGTGGGTGGGAAGTGTCATGGCAGCTAGCAAAGTCACTGATAACTCCAATGATGTATTTCTATAGTTATATAAAATCCACTGCCTTGGATTAAGATTCATTAACATGACCATTTCAGAAACAATTTAATTATAAGTAGAAATTATAATGAATTGTTTCCCCTTTAGGATAGGAGCTGCCAGTAGTTATTAATCACTGAAATTAGAACTGAGTCTCAAATGCTTAGAAATAGGTTGCATGATATGGAGTGGCTGAGAATTTGGCTTTCAAACTATCTCTCTTTTCATTCCTATTTAAAAGCAAGATGTTCTCTTAGTATGACTTAATGCTAACACTGTATCATGCAGAAGTAACTCTTGAAACTATTTTGCAAAAGAGGCCAACCTTTAGGGAATATAGGAGCCCCTTCTTTCTTCTTAAGTCCCTATGCTATGGTTTGATTTATATTCATAGGATTCTTTCTATAATATTCTCACTGATGTTTATTGCTTTTTCTCTGTTATGTTAAAGATGTAAAATCTCCATCTTCATTTTAATTGTACATAATGTATGCAAATCAGATGATTTCCATTCATTCTTGAGTACCTTCCTTTTATATCAAAATAATTTAAACAACCTGAATTAAAACCAGTCAATGCTTTGCAAACAATATTTATTTATTTACAAATTTATATATCCATCCAACTTATACATAGGTAATTCTGGCTTAGAAAATTTTTAAAAATTCATCTTATAATAAAACCCATTAAAAATACCCAACCCCCATGGCAGCATTTATATGATAAATGGCTATTCATAAGTAGTTCACTGATCATACAAGGTTCAAAATATCTTATCCAACTTCCAGAGCAGAATCCCAAAGCACTATAAATTGGATAGTCCAAATTACTTTAACATTACACAACTGAAAAAATGTGCAACAATCGTTTTCAAGGCCCCCCCAAACACGTGTCAAACCTTTCAAATACTTCATTTAATGTTTACTAGTACTAAGGTTAGAAATCCCACACAGTACTTATACAATTAAGAAGGATGCAGATTTATATTCATATAATTCACAATAACCAACATTTCAAACAATCTAATTAAGAATACTCACAATTTGGAGCAGTATTAAGAATAACCCAACCTCAAAGTGACCATATAATTCTAAGCTTTGCCCTACTAGGGCTTAGTAAAACAGCTGAAATAGTGCTTTGCCAAGTAAGTGGAGCTCTTTCAAGTACCATGGGTACCATTTGAAAAAGCAT